TATTTCAAATTTTTTGAATTTTTTTGTCCAACTTTGACGTCATGCTTATTCCAAGTTAAAAATTACAGGTTAATGCCTATAAGTAATTCTTATTCTGTAGAAAATGGTCTTTAAAATAAGCCTAAGATTATTAAAAAGCGTTCATTATTTTAGAAGTTATTCAAATTTTTGTAAAACATTGAAAATGACGATTTTTAAGAATATCTTCTACAAATTTTGGCCAAATGACTTCTGTAAGGTCTTATTCTTTTCAAAATTTTATCGTCTTTCAAAATATAAACCAAAAAAAATTTTACTTTTCATGAATTTTATGTTAAAAAATGTTTGTCATTCCTTTGAAAATGGGTGGACTGACAATTTCGGACGGTACTGTATATGGGCAATTCCACGTGATATTTAAGTCCACATCTTAAAATCGGCCAAAAAATATATTTTTTCTATTCTGTATCGAAAAAACAGATACGTATTTTTTTATTTTTGTTTAATTGTACAAATTTTCGAGTTATGAATTTTCGAAATTTTTGACTTGTAATTGTAGACTTATATTCAGTAGCTATAATTCCGAAAATATTGAGTTTAGGAAAAAGTTGTCAAAGAATGAAAGTTTTAGTTTTCTTTCGAGTTTTAAGAAATGTAAACAAAAATTTTTTTTATAAACAAATTAATTGTCTTTAACTTTGGGTCAGATTTAAAAAAATTTTTTTTAAATTTATTTATACCTTATAATATAGAGGAGAGTTTCCAAAAGTCCTAAAATGGGCCTTATGTGTTAAATGAGTTTTAAAACATTTTCAAAAATCACTTGCAAGCATCACATGGGATATTTTTACAATTAACTTTTTAGAACTGTCTGCAGCGTATAAATTTTAATCTATTTGTGTTCTTTGTTTTAAATTAAAGGGTCTACGCTGTAGACAGTTTTAAAAAGTTAATTGTAAAAAAATCCCACTGTCGACTAAAATCTCACGTGGAATTTCCCATAGGGATAATGTCACCTTGAGTGGACCGCCTGAGCTTTTAAGTTATCTGACAGCGGAAACGTGAAATAAATAGTGCGAATAGCAGCACCGCACCTAGAAACCGTAAGAAATTAAGTTCCGCAATAATCATATACGTTACCGTTTGATATAACGCATTTTTGAGAACACAAACCAAAAAAGAAGTCGCTCTTACAATGAGTAAAGTGATTCGGAAGTGTAAAAGTAGTGTAAAATTTAAGTTTTAAAAGGTAACTTATTTTTTTCCTATTACTTTGGACATTGAAATTGATTGTCTTAGTTTAATTAAGTGATAATTTTGATTAAAAAAAAATTTTTGGTGTCTGCCATAAAAAGTTGTTTGTCACCATGAGTGGACTGCCTGTTTTTTCCATTTTTAATTTCAGTTTAACATTTTTTAGATATAAATTGACAATAAATTAGTTTGAAACTATGATTTATGTTCTTTATTAATTTTTTTGTGATATGTGACAAAATTATTAAAAATGGTTTCACTTGTAAACATTGCGACACATACATGGTCTGAAGCTGCATAAGCATAAATTTTGTTTCAATATATCAGAAATATTAAATACATTAAAGAATTTAGAATAACTTTTACAATTTTTTAGGAGTGGACCACTCAAGGTTACACTTTTTTCATTCCTTAAAAATTAGCTTTTTTTAAAAGTAAATTGTTTTTTCCAATAAAAAAAATCAAAGCTATTATGGCATAAACACTTATCTAGGGATTTAAACTAAAGCTTGAAATAGAAACCTCCGATTAATTTGCTTTCATAAAGAATTTTTTAGAAAAAAAGCGTAGGCGGCCTACTCAAGGTGACATTACTCTATATCTGTTTTTTTCGAAAAAAGAATCAGCTACGATTTTCGGAAATGAAAATTTGGAATCTTGGGACGATTCCAGATAAAACTGCTTTAGCACAATTTTGACTCATTTTAGGTAAACCTAAAAGTGCTTGAAGACCACCGTGACATCTTCACAAATTGCGGTAATTTTTAAGGACATTCCAAGCTTTAATTCATGAAAAAAAACAACTTTAAAAAATAATTGTTTAAACATATTTGTCAAAAAGTTCAAAAAATTATTTTTTAATAAAATACTAGCGTCATACTCCTCGCTCGCTCGGAAGACATTTTATTATTTATTTCTACTTACATAAATAGTTTTTGAGGTAAAAATTTTGTTAAAAAAATTCTTAACGTCAAAAACTCTCTTGATTAAGCTAATTTTGTTTAAAAAAAATCTTTAACTTTAAAAACGATCCTTATACCTCATACAATATGAATGCAGGCTAATTGTTTATAACATTTTTACACCAATAGGTCTTTCTTAAAAAATTATGTAATATATGTTTTCGTAGTGGTTTTTAGCGTAGAATCAAATAGCGCTATAAGTTTCTTATAAAAATCGATTTTTCTTCATTTGTTTATAAAAAAAATTGTTAAAAAAATATTTTTTTAACATTCAACGACAAAAATTATCATTAGATCTCATGCCACCCTACTAAAAATCCCTGTATAAGATCTTGTACAAGAAAATGCACACGTTCAGCAGCTGAACTTGTACAAGTTCTGGTAAGAACATGTACAATTTCTTGTACCAGGATTTGGAACAAGTTCTTGTATTAGAACTTGTACAAGAAAATGTACGAGTACTTGTACAAGAAAATAAACTTGCACAAGAAAATGTACAAGATCTTGTACAAGTTCAAGTACAAGTATTTGTACATGAACACGTTCATGTTCTTGCACAAGTATATTTATAAATAATTTTTTTTTTAGAAAATTGGATCAAGTAAATTAATAAATAATTTTTTTTTTAATTGGCATTTTAATAACTTATAAGCATTAAGACTCTCAACTTTAGGCAAGCCAAAAACTATTGCGCAGCTCTAAAAGCTTATAAAAACTACTGCGCAGCCTTTAATGTTTTTAATTTTTACAACTTAAAAATAATGTTTAAAGAAAATGTACAAGTACTTGCACATGAACCCGTACAAGATCTTGTACAAGATCTTGTACAAAATCTTGTACGGGTTCATGTGCAAGTTTATTTTCTTGTACAAGTACTCGTACATTTTCTTGTACAAGTTCTAATACAAGAACTTGTTCCAAATCCTGGTACAAGAAATTGTACATTTTCTAACCAGAACTTGTACAAGTTCAGCTGCTGAACGTGTGCATTTTCTTGTACAAGATCTTATACAGGGATTTTTAGTAGGGCAGGATTTTAATAGTTACTTTTATAATATCTGCATTCCCCAAGTAGAAATTTCCCTAGCTTTGCTCCATGTTTAATTGTGGGCCATACATGGAAGCCATCCATGGCCCATCCAAGTTTTGTAACCGCCAGCAGACTTTTTCCCGACTTTTAAAATTTTTATCAGATCATTTATACAGACATTTCTTGTCATCAGTGCGTGACCTTGCTTGTTAAACAAACCCGAAAATTAAATTATTAAATAACATCTACTACATGACAATCCCGGCTAAAATTATACAGCTTTGATAACTTTTGGTAAATCCCATCCGTTCTTAGGGTGGTCTAGACTCTAGATATTAAATCAACGTCTTCTCCTGGGAATTTTCGACAAAATGAATACTTTACGTTTCTGTAAGTGTACTCTAACAACTTTCGTCATCCTAACGGTGCTAAGGGTGGTCTAGGTATTAAGTCAACGTCATCTCCTGGGAATTTTCGAAGAAATGAAAACAATACTTTATTCTAAGCGTACTCTAACATCTTTCGTCATCCTAACGGTGCTAAGGGTGGTCTTGGTATTAAATTAACGTCTTCTCCTGGGAATTTTTCACAAAATGAATACTTCATTTTACTTTTATCGCTTTAAGCTTATACTATGAAGTATATTTGAGGTTATTCTTACTACAAAAAATATAAATGCATAAATGAATATATAAAAACGAAATGAATTTTAACTATGTCCGTTTCTGTGTGAATGGGCTGAAATAAAGATTATATAAAATATAAAAATACATAGAAACTTTTTTCGTTTAAAGATACATCTAATATACCTACGTTTAAAGCACAAAGACGAATAAAATTTGTTTATTTTAGAAAAAAACACTTTTAACAAGTAAATTCATTTTATTTAAAATTTTTACATTTTTTAAATTTCTTTACTCTGAACAGTGCAGTAAGGGAATTACATAAACTTTTTCTATTGCATTGGGTTTGAAATTTAATGTTAGTTTTATAGCTTTTGAGTAAATGTCTTCTAATAAAAATGAGTACGTGTTCTGTGACTTTTCTGGTAAAAGCTCCCACATTTTTAAAGTTGCAGAATTACAAGGGTAGTTAAAAATTTCTTTTTTGATTGTCCATATTGAGCCTTCTAAACGTACTGTGTTTTCAAAATGTGACATTCTTTGAATTTGAAAAATCATGTCATTGTTTAAGATTACTACATTATCGGGTGATTTAAGATTAAGCGTGCATTGTTTATATTTTACTGATGTTATACCTAAACTTGTTTCTTTCAAAATGTTAGTTTTATAAGAACTTAAATTTTTTCGTTTATTGGCAATTACGCTTTCATGCAATCTACGGCAAATTTGAGCTAAAGGCCTGTTTGCAGAACGAAGAAGAGATTTTATTTTTCCGAGCATATTTTCAAAAGGAAAACAAGAAACCGCTGATAATTGACAATTAAAATTAATTTTATCATCAGCTACATGAATTAAATTATGAAAGTTGATTGTTTGAGATGCTGCCCCATAGAAAGCATTCGTTGCTTGAAAGAAACTTGTTAAATATTGCTTAGCAAGTCTATTACATCGTTGAGAAACATTTCGTATACATAAAACTCTACTTGCAACGTGAAGTAACAAAAAGTGATTATAAATGTTAACGCTTTTAAAAATATTTTTGAGAACAAATTATACCACAATATAATAAAAAAATCTAAATTCTGTTGCTTTCCAAAATGATAAGTATTTTAAAGGTCTCGGTTTACGTTGGAATTCACATGGCAATTGTAATCATATGTAATTCATGCGCCTAGAAATTTCATTAATCTGGTTTCTGCCAAGTTTAACATTAAAGTTGGAGCCTGTGGTCCAAAATGAAAGAAGCCTCTTCATAACTCCAAGAAACAAGAGATGCATAATGTCCAACACAAACATTTGCACCATATTAATTTTAGGCTTTATTTTTTCTAAGGGAGATGTTCCAGTGTGATGTTCAGAATCAGTTTTATTACGGAATGAAGTGTCAGACCTTTCTTCACAATCAATTTTAGAATATGGCATACGATTTTCAGATGATTTCCCTTCAACAACACAACGTTCACAAGCATTCTTTCCAGTATGACCTTTACATTTTTTTAAAAATGCGCGGGCTAACGTATCGCATGTAAAACACTTAATCAAAACTTTAAATTTTTTTCCAGATATCGAAATACCATTTTCTAAAATCGAATTTAGTTCATTGATAAATTCATCTAAATAAACTTCTAAATCTTTTGGTTTAGAATTTCCATGGTATATAAGAACAGGAAAAGGATCATAAACATCAGGATCATTATAAATTCTACATAAGATTGGCCAAAATTCTCCAGGGCCAGATTTGAACAATGGAAGTCCATCAGAATTGAATATTAGCCATATCTCTTCTGATTTATATTCTTTAACATTAATGCATTCTGCTAAACCCTTCTCTATTCCAAAATAAGCTAGTTGTCCTTTTGTATCATCATTGTCATCTATTGTAATAATATTATATCGTGCAGATGTTGTTTTTAAAAATGTTTTTGATGACATAGGCAAGTAAGGTAGAAGACGCCGTCTAAGAATTCTTAACAGGTCATCTAAATGATTCTGACAAATTTTTCTTGAGACTGCCCATAAGCGAAGTTCATTATATTCTGGCGCATAATAATTATAATCGTTAAAGTGTCTTAAACTAGAATTTTTTTCTATTTCATCCTCGGAAATACAGTCACTTGTTTCAGCATCAGATTCTTCAACGTAATTTTCATCACTTATAGTAGTTTCAGACTAAAAGAAATTTAATTTTTAATAACAATATTTGAATCCCTTTTAGTTCTTATTAATTGATAACTAGAGGAGTGCAAAAAGCTCGATCGAGTCTTTTCAAGCTTTTCTTTTTACAAGCACTCGAATATTTTGAGTATTTCGAATATTTTCGAATTCTAGAGAAAATTAAAATAATCGTTGCATATATTATAATTAGTAAATTTAAATATAGTTTGAAACTGAAAACTCATATACTTTATTCCTTCAATATACAACATACATTCAAAATTTTCTACTTATTAATAGTTTTTTAGTAATTTAAAAACTCGAATTCAATCGAGTGCTCGAATTTACTTTGCATACTTGAATTTAGTTGAGTACTCGATACATCGACCCGACTCGGTTCAAAAAAATTTCGGCTCAGCTATTCGAGCTTTTCGCACATTTATATTGATAACAATTAATAATTTATGAAAAATGAAGTATTTTACTATGTATATTTTTTAACACTTACTTCTTGAAAATGCATAAATTTCTCTTCTTTAAAATAATTTGTTTCAAATTCGACATCACATTTTTCAACATAATTTTCATCAATTACGTCTCTTTCAGACTAAAAGAAATTTAATTTTTATTAATTAATAATAATTAATATAACTAATAAAAAATACATAATTTTTCTACTGTAAAGCGGAGCTATTTTGTGCGAGTGAGGTTTTTAATGACGATAATATTTATTATGAATTATTTACATTTGATATTTCAGTTAACAGAAAAAAATTCGTCAAAAAGTAATATTTGTGTTGGTAATTTTTACGTACCTACGAGTTGTCAATTTATAATAATTTTTAAAGAAAATTAATTAATTATTTTTTTTTAATTTATTCTGGAAAATAAACAAAAAAGATTTAATATAGCAGAAACGATGCACAAAATAGCCTCACCTGACGATATGTGGTAGGTGGTCACTTTTTCTAAAAAATATTTTCTAATCCTTTTTGTCTAAAAAAGCGATTTCTCATGAAATCTGTTTTCTAAAAAAGTTTATCTAAGAAGTTTTGATTTCTACAAAAAGTTTTTCTAAGAAGTTATGATTTCTAATATTTATTTTCTTAAAATTTGTAAAATTCCATAATTTTGATAAAAGTTAGAAAATTGTTTAAAAAAAACTAAGATTAAGAAATAAAAATTATTTTGCATTTTTTCTGTTTCTCAATCACAATTTTGTTTACAAAATTATAAGTTTCTTTTTGAAAAGAAAAAAAAATTTTATAAAATTACTATTTTTTATCACAAATTTTAGAAGTCATTTAGCCAATATTTTATTTAGATATTTTTAAAAAATTGTTATTTTCAATGTCTTACAAAAACTTGAATAACTTTTAAAATAATGAACGCTTTTTAATGATTTTAAGCTTATTTTAAAGGTCATTTGCTACACTATAAAAATTACTTATAGGCATTAACGTGTAATTTTTTTCTTAGAAAATGCAGGCCGTCAAACTTGGACCAAAAAAATTCAAAAAATTTAGAACAATCTTTCTGTACTAAAAACTATTTTAGAAAATATATAAAACTTTATATGGTGTAGATTTTATAAGAAAATTTAATAAAAAATACGTTTAAATTTTAAAAATTATTTTTCTGTAAATAAGAATGTTTCAAATTTTTTATATTTTTTTGGTTCAACCCAGTGAGAAATTTCTTACCGGTCCAATATCGGTCCAATTTTGGGAGCCAAGAGACCAATCATCGGTCCAATAAAGGCTCCCAATATTGGACCAATATGGGCTGATGCTTGGGATGTAACGGGTTCGCCAAGCATCGGTTGTTAATATTGGTCCAATATTGTCCGAATATTCGCAACCAAGAAAAAAAAATTTTTTAAATAAATTTTTTTAATTAAATAATAATAATAATAAATTAATGTTTATAATTTTTGTTTAATTATTTATTTTTAATAATTCATGTAAATAATAAATAATTTATTATTTATAAATTATAATTATTTAAAGATGCAGCAACTATTAGGAAATAATCGAAATAGCATTCTGCAAAAAAATTCTATCATTGAAAAATCAATGATAGGCGAGAGATATCCGCGTCATTAAATAGATTCGCAGATATACTCTGGTCTCGCGACGAATCTCTCGATACTTATATACACTGGAGTCGCCGTGTCAGTTGCGAGAACGGTTACAGCGTCCCTCTTTCCGCAGAGATAAGAATTGTCACGTAAACTGCGGGTATAATAAGGCCGTCGGTAAAGCGATTTAGCAGTTTACGTGACAATTCTTATCTCTGCCGCAAGAGAGACGCTGTAACCGTTCTCGCTACTGACACGGCGACTCCAGTGTATATAAGTATCGAGAGATTCGTCGCAAGACCAGAGTATAACTGCGAATCTGTTTAATGACGCGGATATCTCTTGTCTATCATCTGCGAATCTATTTAAAGACGCAGATATCTCTCGCCTATAATTGATTTTTCAATGATAGAATTTTTTTGCAGAATGCTATTTCCTAATAGCTGCTGCATTTTTAAATAATTATAATTTATAAATAATAAATTATTTATTATTTACATGAATTATTAAAAATTAATAATTAAACAAATAAATATATTAAACAAAAATTATAAACATTAATTTTTTATTATTATTATTTAATTAAAAAACTTATTTAAAAAAATTTGTTCTCTTGGTTGCCAATATTCGGACAATATTGGACCAATATTAACAACCGATGCTCGGCGAACCCGTTACATCCCAAGCATCAGCCCATATTGGTCCAATATTAGGAGTCAATCGGCGCCCAGCACGGCAACCAATATTGGACCGATATTGGACCGATTAAAGTCTATTGGCAATTTCTCACTGGGAAGTTCTTATTTCAGAAGTTATTCAAATTTTTGTAAAACATTGAAAATGGCGATTTTTTAAAAATATCTAAATGAATTATTGGTCAAACGACTTTTGAAATATCTTCTTCTGTTCAAAATTTTATCATCTTTAAAAAAATGAGCAGAAAAAAATTTTAGTTTCAATAAATTGTATGTTTTAAAACGATTTTCATTCGACTGAAAATGGGTGGTCTCTCAATTTTGACCGGTAGTGTAAAGTCACTTTTTAAAAATTTAAAATGGCGGATCCAATATGGCGAATAAAATTTTCAAATTTGATCCTATTCCCTTAAAACGTGTTACTCGGGGGCTTTTGGGGTCGCAGATTATGAATATAAAGTTACTTTTTAGAAATTGAAAATGATGAATCCAATATGGTTGTCAAATTTTTTAATTTGATCAGATTTAATTAAAAAGTGTTAGGGGAGACCGGGGCGTAATGGCTAACTTTTCACTTTTTGTTGTTTTACTCGGACATTTTTGTTCTAATTTAATGTTTATCATCCAGAAAAGTTACTTTGGTATCTCAGCTTTCTTTTAAGACTACAAACGTCCCGATATGACTCTTACTTTTTATTCTACAACAGTTTTTCTGGAGCAATGCAGAGCTCTAAAATACGGCCCGAGCCGGGGCGTAATGGATAACTCCCGGGGCGTAATGAATAATGATTGCTAATTATTATCTACAGTTTCTAATCTTATTGTATATTGTAAATTAAGGTTCCTGGGTATTCCGTGAATGCTATTTTTATTCAGTAATACTTCAACTATTGCTTTTTCAATAATATTCTGTGATATTGGCACTCTCTCAATTTTTTTTGTAATTGAAGGGCTACATAAAATAAGGGGACGAACGCGTGGTTGAAAGGGATAATATCAGTCAGGTAGCAGTGAGCGGCTCAAGGCTTGTCACTGCTACCCGACTGGTAATATCCCTTCCAAGCCTCGCGTTCGTCCCCTTATTTTATGTAGCCCTTCAATTTCTCATTAAAATCGTAGCTTGAAATCTACTATTTGTAAATTTTAGACCAAAACTTTAAAATTTTGTTAAAAACACCTAAACATACTTAAACTAAGTGACAAGTAACCGCGAAAACAAACCTACACTTCGCCGATATGGTAGGTTGCTCTTTATACATAGCGTATTGCATTAGCCAACACGCCCCGGGAAAAACTAGCCATTACGCCCCGGGGGTACTCGGCAAATATTTGGCTTATTTTTAACAATACCGGAAGTGTGAATCAAAAATCTCGAATTGTCCCTTAAAAACAAACGTGTCAAGATCGAAACCTCATTTCAGTTTTTTTTTAAAGGTATTTTTGAAAAAAATAGAACGAAAAAACGAAAATTTTGAAAAGTTACTTTCGTATGTCAAAAATAGTTTTTCGACTATATTTCTTACAATAATGAATAAATATTAATGAAACTTCCGACAAACTTGCAGTATACCAAGTACAATAACTTGTCTATTGTGCGAAATTATTACAATTTACGGTTTTTAAACAAATTATAATTATTCATTACGCCCCTTAGCCATTACGCCCCGGTCTCCCCTACTCGGGGGTTTATAGCGTATCTGATTACGAATTTGAAGTTGTTACGTACAAGGTACTTAACAGGTACTATTTTATTATTATTTTTCTTTTTAATAAAGCTACAAAAGATAGGACAGAATTTATAAAACATAATAAATTCCTATATATTTTATAATATTGTTTATAAATTATATGCATAAATTTATAAACATTATTACCTAATACTTAAAATTTTATATAATAAAAGAAACCTCTATTTGAAAATAACTAAAGGTAATGGATTTCACACATATGCATTGAGACGACCTAGGTGTATACGTGCACATCCGCTGATTCCGCTGGCTACA